GTTACATTGCCCTTGATCTAGCCCTGCAAGGCCTCACGCACCCTCCTTGAAATTGATTTTGGATCACTTGTTGTTCCCTTGTCCCTGTGCTTGTTAACACCCTCTTCCTTCCTCCCCTCCTCCCCTACCCCCATGCTCTCTGATCTGTCATCCCGTTGTTCTCTCTTCTGGCTTGTTTATTCTGCCTATCCCTTCCAGGTAGACATGCTATGAAACATCACCAGGCTGAGTGCAACGAGGCAACAACAGAAAGTAAAACAATGTCTACAACAACAACAATACACACATATGCATACATATATAACTGTATGAATAGCTCAGGGTCTGCTTGTTTTCTTTCACGTGTGCTTTCCAGTCAAGTCTGATTGGGTGCCATGCCCCAGCATCGCCTCTATCCCTGAGGACTATTTCTATCATTGTCTGTTTTTCTTACGCTGTTTCTTTTAGATTTTATTTCTCTACCTGACTTGAGGTTACCATAATCATGAATTTTGTGTCGAACCCCAACCCTTTCTTAAAAATGGACTTCAAAAAAGAAACAGCCTTTTTCAGAAAACATGGCACTAAGGAATTATTTTTGCTTCTCTTGGGGGTTATCAAATTGGAATGGTTTGACTGTCAATTCTTTGACCTTCTGATACTTACACAATGGCCTATATCGTACTTTTTTATTGCTGCATATTATAAACACAATAGAAGGTTATCCGTTCTCCTGACCATGAACACATCAGTTACTTTCTCTCTTTTTCAAGCATTTACATGTGCTAGACTTCCTTTGGTGTTCTACTCAGGAGGATCATAGACGGATCTTATAGGGTCTATGAATGTTCAATTTAACAAGAAAAATAAAATATTTCCCAAGGTTGTATCCATGTAATTCCTTCACCCATACCCCATTATGAAAGAATTCACATCTTTCACAACATTTGAGATTATCAGTCTTATTTTTCTGCCAGTACACTGACCTGATCATTATTACATTGTATGCTTACTGTGCACTCCCTGCTTACTCATGGAATAAGACATAATTTTAAACTTTCATAAATGATGTGTATTTTTTATGTATGTTTATATCTTGTGTGTAGTGATTTTTAAATTTTATTTTTTATACCAAAACCTCAAACATTAAATCGATTCACTGCCATTGATTTGGTGTCAGATCTGATTCACCCTATGGAACAGAGTAGAACTGCCACGTAGGATTTCCCAGACTGTACATCTGATGGGAGTAGACGGCCTTGCCGTTCTCGCCTGGTGCTGCTGATGGGTTCTGACATGGAAACCACTGCCCTGCCAGGCCCCTTTCACTCTTCATAGATTTTATAAAATATATTCTGTATGCTTATTTAATTAATCCATTGTTCTTATATTGCTGCCATTATCTTCTCCCAATTTATAGCCTCCCTCCCCCAAACTGACATAGTTAAACTGTTATTTATTTATTTATTTATGATAAAGAAAATATCTAATTTGAACACTTTCTGTATGGATGAAAAGTTTCCCCAGCACCACTGATTGCATAGTTTAGCCTTCATACAATGGCCAGTCATAAAAAGAGTCATCGCATATAGATGTACTCTGTATTTTAGTCCCTTGGTCAACTTTCCTATCCCTGTGATAAAACTAGTTTGCATTAAGTACTGAAAACTATTAAGTTTTTTTTTAACCTATTGGGAAAGTTTAATTCTCCAGTTTCATTTTTCTATCATGAATAGAGTCTATTTTCATTTTAGAAAAAATATTGCACTTTTTGTAAATATACAATTGTAAAAAGAAAGCAATGTATTAAATATTCAAAGATGTATGCATTTCAATATTCAAAAGCACTAATTATCAAAATTAACATTAACTTGCACTGTCAATCATTAAACTCTTTGTGACTCATGGACCATCTTCAGTTTCCACCTCTGGGGTTCTGCGGGAAGCTTTTATCCCACTTCTGGTGCATGCTACCATCTGGTGGAGGCCTGTGTGAATGCATGAACCCAAAGAAATGGATCTCATCCCACCAGCCCTAGCACCATAGACCCCTGAGAACATGTGTCCCACTAACTCATCACAATCCATATTACCTCAAAAAAATGTTTTCCACTTTATTCTAAATGCCGTCTATTACTGAAAACACAATGTTTCCACCAACAGAAACAAAAAGTCAAAGTGAACATAATTTCATTTGAAAGGTTTGTGAGATGTTTCTAAATTTTTGGAGCACCAATTGCTAACCATCCAGTTGTGGTTGGAATCTGTGGGAGAAAGAAGCGCTGATCTGCTTCCATAAAGATTACAGCCAAAAAACCGCCATGGGTCCCTTCTACTCTGTCACAATGGGAGCTAAGAGTTTCCACCCAATCACAATTACTAGGGCATAATGGGAACCTGGTATCATACATTGTACATGCAAAGACAATGGTAAAAATAAGAAAATCACATTTTAAAATGGATAGATTCAAAACTCAGAAGAAATAACTAACAAGTTTCTGTGTTTACATAGTACTGTTACTTAATAACAAAAATGAAGGGTACTTCTTTTTGGTTCCACACTATTTAGGGATAGATAAAAGGTGTTATGTGCCCATGCTCACAATGTTTTCAAGAGAATGGTTAATAGTGGGCCTTTTCCATGGATAAGGAAGTTGAGAGCCTGCAAGGTCGAGTGTCTTGTCTCAG